AATGTGAAGCTTATTGAAGCAGAGTGGGGCCAATTCGTTTGAAACAGCACAGAAAGATTCGGCAATTAGTTCAGCAAGCTCAGAACCTCTTTTGAACTCACCATCATGGAAGATGCTCGAAAAAGGTTCCGATTTAGATAGACCAGAAATAGACTTGATGTTATCGTACCATTTTTTTGGGTTAGATTCACTGGTATTAAGGATTTTCTTATCGTAGTAGGACTGACGAGCAGATTTGCATAGTTTTCTAACTTTATTACGATAAACGTTATACATGATAGTGTTGCTGGTTAACCAAGCTTTCTGCCTTTTAGAAATGAATTTTTTTATATCTGCAGTGATCCATGGTTTATCTTTAGGGTAACACTTTATGGTGCGCAGAGGGACGTGACTATCGATAACAGAGGATAGTTTGTTCGAGAATAGGTTGAATTGATCATCTAGAGCAGTTACGTGGTAAAGTGGGGTCCAGTTGATTTGGGATAAGGTGGTGATTAGGGCTTGTTTGTTTGCGTGTCGACAGTCTCTTTTAGTAATGTAGGAGGGGGTATAAGACTTGAGTGACTTCGGACTTTGTTTAGTCGGGTTGAGGAGAACACTTTGGTGATCAGATTGTCCAATGCATGGGAGTATAATGGCATCAATGTAATGCTTCGAAAGGGTAGTGTAAATCTTGTCAAGGATATTGTTACCACGGGTGGGTCTTTTCACAACTTGTTTAAGATTAAAGGATGAAGTTAATGATCCAGGTTTAAACTGGTTAAAGTCTCCTAACAAGACGATGCCTGCGTTTGGAAAATTGATGAGGGCGTTGTCTAGGGATTCAAATAGATGGTTCCTTAGTGTTGAATCGTTATTTTGTGGAGGGTGGTATACAGAGGCTACTACAATTGCATCAATTCCTCTTGGAAGTCTTTTTGGTTTTATCAAGAACCACTGTGATTCAATGTCGGGGTGAGATAAGTCTTTTAATTCTAGGAAGTCCAATGTATTTCTGATGTAGGTGCAGAGTCCACCACCACGTTGATCGTCACGTCGGTCTTTGCGAATACTTGAAAATCCGGGGATCTTAATGAGATCATTCGTAATGTTTGACGAAAGCCATGATTCTGTGATGATTGCAACATCACATTTATTATTAGTAATAGTTGCACTGGTCCTACAAGAGGACCTTGTGCTGCATTTTTCGCAGTCGATCCTGGTTAGGTCTTAAAATGTATATGTTCTCACTTGGATTACAAACCCTAACATTCTAATATTAAGTCCACCAAGTGAAGTGCAAGAATCCAAATTATTGAAGTCCACCTTATCATAACCCGCACACCCGATTACTTAAATATACATGAACTTACGGTTAAAGTGCCTATGAAATGAAATTTATTATTTCAGTATTTGGTACTTTTGGCAACGGAAATTTCGAATTTGATAATAAAAATGTCAAATTTTAAGAGCAAACAGTAGTTTTTGCAAGCTTTTGTAACGTTTTTATATTGAAAAAGTGGTCCGGAGACTGGGAACGAATTAAATACGCGTGACGTAATTAGCAGGGCACGAGAAATTGATACAAGTCAACGCAATACAAACAATATAGCACAATGTCGTCGACTGTAGTGATATTTCTGTTGCTATTTCGGATTCAAGTGAGTATGTTTTTGGCGCTCATTATATGCCTTGTGAAGGTGAACCATTAAATCCTCAGGGAGACGATATAATGGACGATATAAGCGAGGAAACGACCAAGGAAGCCGATCTGGATGGCTTGACGCCGGCCATTCTAGAGGCTAGATATGATTATATGAAGTTGATTCTTGGTAGCCGTAGGTAGCCTTTTTTCAGTTGGATACATTTGAACTTCAGTCGTTTTAAATAATTAAATTTGACAAAAACACTCGATTCAACTCGCTGCTTCAATTTGATATAGGTGTAAATGTGGCAAGTGCTCGGATATCGAAACTTGGTTGATGCACTTGAATACCGATGTTGCCATGAAATTATTGAAGCGCTTGGGAAACTAACATTCGACGGGAGCATCGCCGGAGAAAATTTCATGTTTGACATTGCATGAAGACTACAAGGCCATCACGAACGAGGCTGTGCTGGCTCAAGTCGGCCCTTTAATGAGAGACCGAAATGGCAAAGCTATAAATCACGTTCAGGAACTCCTTACAAAAGAGTATTGTGGATCATTTCATGCTGTCAAAGTTATAGAATTACTGCAATTTTTACGTTTTATATTTCGACAAAAAACACTTTCCAAATGTGGATAGTTTTCAATAGCCGGTTTAATAATACAGTAATAGAGCCATGTTTATTTATATCGAACAACTATAATGATACGTTTCCGATATGCCTTCAAAACATATACAAACTTTGCCAGCCAGAAGGGTGGATTATAACATCTTAAAGTTACTGCATTGCTCTACTCAAACAATTATGATGTCAAAGTACTATAAATACAGTAATAAAACTCAAACTGTGTTTTATACAGTGAGATTTATATGCGGAAGTTAAACGGTTTGGCTGGTCTTGCATTTGGTACATTACATAGTCTGGTCAAGGATTTCGGTTGCAAAGACTGATATTGCTTGCCAATCTCTTCCAATGTTGTGCTATCAACATGCAGTAAACATAATTTCTCCTATGCAGTTGACATACTCTATATGAAACATAGACAATTTGTTAACCATATTGTACCAAAAACCCCATTGCCCATCTCCCTCTAATACCTATCCCCCCACCAACGTTTAAAACAAAGAACACCTGCATATGATATCAATGAAATATTGGTTGCGCAGAAAGATAAAATAATATACCCCAGTCACCTAGTGGAGTATGTAAAAACTATGCCCTTTCAATTGACCTTATGAGCATGCCTACGTATTAACCCATAAGGCACAAGGTCTTTTATGCAAATGCAAAATATTATTTACCTATTTACCATAAGTTGGCGGTCTCTTGACTTCTCGTACAATTGCTTATGGCAATGACATCTTCTACGTTTCAACAACGTCAATCGTTGGAAATGAGCCTCGAGTCAAGAAGCGCTTAGTGTTACTGCTATCTATCTTAGACTTTGTAAATTGTTCTAGAGCTCTCGTTAAAATAGCTCTCGTCAAAATAGCTCTCGTCAAAATGTGCCGAGCACACCATATTCTTGAAGAAGACGTTTCAGGGTCGAAGTCAGATCGATGTCTTCGAACAAAACGAATCCATTGCCTTTCGTACAGACAGAAATCGTTCGGAAAACAATGCATGCTAGCTAATGCTGGTGTAGACTTGGATCTAATGCTGGTGTGTCGCCACTATTTGCGCGCCTTCTTATTTGGCCCTCCAGGAACACAAAACACTTTTAGAATTTTCCCCCTCTCATTTCACATGAATGAGACGTTTTCTCCATATTTGCGCGGCTAATATGTAAATCAAATCTTTGCTAGGGTTATTCAGCGTCGGCTGCGGCGTGGATGCGTAGTATAATCTCTATCTTGTATTAACGATCACGCAGGCCTATAAATTATAACAGTTAAACGAAATCTCTTCTCGACGTTTCGAGCGAGGGCCCTTCCTTCGTCACGTAGAGTTAGTAGGGTAAGGGAGAGCTCGAAACGTCGAGATTTCAGATTTCGTTTATCTCTTATAGACTTGCGTGATCATTTATATACAAGACAGAGCTTAATACAGCTTATGTTATTCAGCGTGCCCTGCTCTTTACGTCACAGGAAGTAATTTGACGCCTTTTGGCCGCGCACAGACAGAACCACTTTTTGAAGCCAATATGGCATGTTTAACCCTCGATAACTTTTGTTTAATTGATTTTTAGAGCTTGCGTTTTTAAAATCGTCTTTTGTACACTAAACACTATAGGAATATCGAATAAAAAATTTCATTTCATAGGCACTTTAAAGCTCAACAGCTGACCTCTGTAGCTCAGTTGGTTAGAGCGCTGCACCGGAATCGCAGGGCAGTAGGTTCAATTCCTACCAGAGGACCTTGTGCTGCATTTTTCGCAGTCGTTCCTGCTTAGGTCTTAAAATGTATATATTCTCACTTGGATTACAAACCCTAACATTCTAATATTAAGTCCACCAAGTGAAGTGCAAGAATCCAAATTATTGAAGTCCACCTTATCATAACCCGCACACCCGATTACTTAAATATACATGAAGTTATGGTTAAAGCTCAACAGCTGGCCTCTGTAGCTCAGTTGGTTAGAGCGCTGCACCGGAATCGCAGGGCCGTAGGTTCAATTCCTACCAGAGGACCTTGTGCTTCATTTTTTGCAGTCGTTTCTGGTTAGGTCTTAAAATGTATATATTCTCACTTAAAATGTATATATTACAAACCCTAACATTCTAACCCTAACATTCTAACATTTGAAATTAAGGATTTGGAGGTTTTGCGATCACCGACAACTTGATAATTTTATAAAACAAAACACTTCTATCTCCAACTTTTACAATCACTGATAAATTGATAATAATTTAAACCAGTCTAGCTGTAGTTTAAATAGAGAATAATATATGGGTGCACGAAATACCAGATTTATTTCGAGTGTTGAACATGAGTGTGCAGCGAACAAGTGAGCGCAGCGAACGAGTGAGATGTCATGTTCAACACAAAAAATAAATCTGGTATTTCCAACCGCTCATGTATTTTTCTGTTTATTATATAAAGGACAGTCTTAAATGAAAAGCGATAATGTTTACAGAAAAGCGATAATTGAAAAGGCGATAAATTTTTACATGTGAGTCTATCGTGAATAATTTCACATCTGAGATTATCATTTTTGTCAGTGCTCGAAAACTCTGCAAAACACTATACTTTATATAATAAAAATTCATAAATTTGAACCATGCTAGAGCATGACAACAGCAAAATGCTCTATAGTATGATGCACAATATTTTGGGAGGTGATCGAAATACACGAACAATAAATCAGAGAGTGTTTGCTTGGAACTCACTGGGGGGGGGGGCAACACCCCTGATTATTGCTCATGATGAATTTCAGGTAGATTTCCAGTGCACTTTTACTACCTACATTTAAGTAGATTTGCAGAAAATTTTCAGGGGAATTCAGGTAATTCTCAGGACATGACTGAGAAAGTGAATTTGGAAAACAACTGTATTAAATTTCGGAAAAATTATTATATGTCCTGAAAATTTTTTGTACATCTGGAAACTTTTTGGTAACACCCCCCCCTCTATCTACCCCCCACCCCTGCGACGAAGTGCTCGCAACGGCACTGAGTATATATCTTTTGAAAACAGGCGAGGGGTTATTGCATGCATGTATTTCTAGTATAGACTATAGTAAATTCAAAAGTGCAGCTCATGCTGAATGGTAAACCTTTCAATGTTGCTCGAAGTTTATAAAAATCTGCTGCGTATTCTTAAAAAAATGCGGATAAAATACGACTGTTACTCCTAATAAAATTATCATATTAATTTTAATCACAGTAAATATTTAAAAAAGGCCTATATATGGAAGTGATCTTCAAGAGCGAATTAACTGTATAATTATAATTCATATTAAAACACTATTAAGTAGAACAGTTTCTCTGGCGAATAGTAATTAATTTACAAGGGTTTGTGCCAGTGTAGGTAGAGTCAATAATAACAAGAATTGTTAGGTAGGGATGCAAATTCGGCGTTTCGAGCGAAGGTCCTTCGTCGGGAAGTTAGTGAATCTTAGTGGAAAATCTTCGCTTGAAAAGTTCAATTTCTCCCTGTTCTTTTTCAGGTAGTTGCATTCCTACCAACGGAAGCTTGTAATGTGCAATGTTCTAATTATTTGATGGTTTACACGTCATTAATACCAATATATTCACATTAGAGACGGACAAGTCGTCTAAACGAACAAATCGTCTCTCACAAATCGTCTTCACAGACGGAAAAGTAGTCGAACAAATTCAGACGACTTGTTCGTCTACGACTTGTTCGTCTAAAATTTTGTCCGACACATTTTCACATCATCAGATTTGTCCGACTAAAATACGATTTTGAGACGATTTGTTCGTTTAGTTGACTTGTCCGTTTTCTAATGTGAAAACGGCTAATGTGGAATTAATTAAATTCATTCATTTTTTCGCTCGCTACTCCGGTTTTTATAAATGAATGCAAAGCTTAGTGGAATTGCATTCACGACCCAACTTTTCAACACTCCAGTCTAGTGTAAGATCACCCTGACGACTGGGCTTTAACGAGCAAAAACGTGACCACAGACTTTAAATAATTAACTTCATGTTTTATTTTTGTTTTGCATAGATGACAGCAAAACTGTGGAGTTTTATCTTCTTGTTGCTGGAGTCCCTGTTCTTGTCTTACTGCTGATTATTGCAGCTATTTCTTTGTGTTGTTGCTACTTCTGCAAGAAAAAGAAATCTGAAGCTGCAGGCAAACCTCATTCCACTATTCATGTTAACAACGCATATGTCATACGTTAGGCAGTTTGTATGAACTCTGTCTGTCCAAACGGTAGAAATTTGGTATTATTATTTTGTAGTGTTAAAATAGGACACCGTACGTACTAGACATAACGGAAACAGTTAGTGCCATTAAGGGAACTGTAATGCAATTCATTTGTGTGGTAAAAGTAATTTGGTAACCGTGCACAATCATTCAATTTTATTGCACATTTTGTATAAAGAAAACCCCGAACAGCCATTTGGCATGCGTGATTGGCCAAATGGTTGTATTTATCCGCAAACTACGTACCAAGGCAGGATTTTTAAAAAGGTCTGTTGGCGGCCTGCCACTTATAATATTCAACAATACAACATGCAATAAACTATTTAAGAAATAGAAGATTAGAAGTCGTGTGCGCTTATGGTGTGACACGCGAAGAATGTTGGAAGAATACGAGAGAAGCGTGTAAAACACGATGCGTAGCCGAGTTATTTGTTCTATTTGTTTACATCTTTAATTATATTTGGAAAGTGATCTAATAGCAAAAAATGAGCAAGAAGTGTATTTTTTTGGTGCGTTATTAGTTATTACGTAGTTTAGTCATAAGTTACAATGCAAATGAGCACGTGTTTATGGATTGAAATTAAAATGTCCCTGAAGTACAATTGAGAGTTCAAAGCATGACTCAGACTGCAGAGTTGGCCGGTGATGCCCGGGGTCACGATTTTTCAAAACACAAATTTTTGAGCGACTTACAAAATTCTTCAGAGGAACATTCATCGAAGCAACATAAATTGTCTCGAAAGTTCAAATTTTCACAGTATTTTACAACTATTTGCTCACTTTTGCACCGGGCCCCTGACAGCCTTTCAATGTGCCCTTGAGAAATGTTTTGCTGCCCTTGCCCCTAGATTTGTAGTGTTGCGCACCAGAGATTACGTCAGTCCGGAGCATGACGGTGCACGCACATACTTTAAGCGATTGTGTTAAAGCCTGGTTTCCATATGGTCGTAACGGTCGTTTAGATTGAGTCACGATCTTTCGTAGTTCTGTAGTTCAACCGAACTACAACATTTTAGAACTGAAAATACGCGTACTAATTATAACTAGAGAATACTTATAATTTATATGTGGTTTAAAGGTATAACCTATTATAAACTGGCCGTTGAGAAAGATCGCGACTCTACTTTTACGACCATTACGACAATATGGAAACCAGGCGTAACCATAAAATGATTTTCACCAGTGGCGAAACCAGCCAGAAATTCTTGATCATGCTTCGAGCGACGAAGGCGCGAGGCTTTCTATGGGTCCGGAGGCATGCCCCCTGAAACATTTTGAAAACTAGAACCCTGGGAATGCCATTTCCTGCGATTTGAGCATGGTATTCTAAGCTCCAATATGACCTCAAGGAG